AAAGGGGTGAAGGTGGTGGGGCGGGCTTGGGGAAGTAACATGGAGAGAGAAAAAGTAGGATAAAGAGAGAGAAGAAAAGTAAGGGAGAGAGAAAGGGGAGGGGGGGGGGCTGTCTTATAAGGACTGATTATGAATTTTATGTTTTGATCCCTTTGTAGTTGTGAAACACAGTGTAATAGCCTACCAGTAGTTTTAAGTCTGAATAGCAACGGGAGACAATTCGGATTCGAGTATAGACCTCGCTTACGGTACAACAGGTGATTCTGCACGCGCACTGGAATTTGAGTCTGCCTAGCCTCCAGCAGCTGTTCGGACTTCAGTCCGAATAGCCACTTCTATTATTCAGATCTATATTGGGTGGATCTAGATATATATAAATAGTCTGGGCAACACCAAATGGACAACATGTCGACCTCATGTCATCTACACATAATCTAACTGATGAATTGCTCTGATTTTTTGCATGCACTTCTGAATTCCAAAAGACTTAACAAATTTCAATTTTATTGCTTATGCGACAAATATAAAGAGGTGTTTTCTGAACTATATAATCATTAGTACTTCATTGCAGTCTTGGCGGGGCTCTTTGAGTAGAACAAGAACGGTAGTTGAGTGTTCGTTTTTTTTTGTTTTTTGTTTCATCTTTTTTTTAAACTGACTGCGTATGGCGCTGGAACATTTGTTGACACTGGTATCACGGTGAATACACCCTGGGTGAGAAAAGCCAAAAGGCTCACCCTCTCACCACGGGTGAGAGGCCTACAACTGCGCTCTATTCTCACCCCGGGTGAGTTTTGGTTTTATGGAATATTGTTAAACTGAAATTATCAAGTAACGTGCAATCAAACATTAGAAATATTTAATACGTAATCATAATACCATGTGTACATTGACAGGGTTTATTTATTTTTATTTTGTTGATGTTATATTATTGCTGTAAAATGAGTCTGTTCATATGAATCGCACTCACATCATTATTTCATCATAATAATCTTGCCTAGATCGAGAAAAACTGGATCATTAAAAATTCCATCCCCAGAAATGACCAGTATTTTATTAAGCTTTGGTTTTTAATTGATCCATGAGACAAGTAATTTTGCTCTTCAGTCCTCACCCCATGATTTTGCTTTTAAAAGTGACATGGATCACGAGAACCTACGTTGGTTTGTCATAATAATGTTCTTAACAAATAGCTAGTTGTATACGTGCATAAAATTTGTGTGGAAGTTTTCGCCATTTCACACAACCTTCTTTTACACTTGCATAACCATGATTAAACATTTTAGTATGGATATGAACAGCACGGTGATTACCCGAAAGGTGTACACAGAATAAAGGCAAAAATGGGCTCATTATAATGGGTTACGAATTAATATTTTGTTATAAATTTATGAACGAAACCATGGACCATGTAGTTTCAAGTTGTTTTGAGATTTCTTGTTCAAATTTTAAGCCAACTAGAACATTTTAAACCTTGCCTACGTTCTGATGTTTTGAATTTTGTTATTTGCCTAGGTATGTGTTGCAATCTATGATTTAGTAGTCATTGTATGTATGAAGGAACTATTTTGTCTATGGAATATATTTTGGGAGCTTTTCAATTTTGATACCCTGAATGCATATTATTTAGTTTAAAGGCTTTTTATGTGAACGACAGTCTGAGTGTATGTTATATATAGCTTTGGCAGTTAGTGAAGCTGAAAGAGCTATGTTTAGGTTATGTATGATTAATTCTTTAACCATGCAGTTTAAAATCACGTTTCCGCATAATTCTCTCGTGTTTGTGGAAATGCGACCTGACATATTACGTTTTTAAAAACGCTTGTTTCATCTCAAACTGATCAATAAAGCAGTACCCAGACGAAGAATTCACTTATCTTTGACTTCCGGGACAAACTGAAGGCTTGTTAGCTCGTACTTTTTTATATTTGGCCCGTACCTTAATACAATAATAGCTTTGCATCGGACGGTGGTACCGTCCAGCCATTGTTACGGACCTCGACTCTAAGACACTGCCACCGTCCAGACCTGGTTAAAGAGTTATTTCATGAAGTTGATTTTGGACCTCTGTTGTCACATCCATCTTTTGGCAAATGTTCTATTGTAAGACACCCATGTTATGGTCGATTCTTCTATTGAAATTGAACAAGTTCATCAAAATGAAAAAATTATGTGGGTCTCACAGTCATTAGTAGTTGTTATGAATTTGAGGTTCCTGATTCCTGGACACAGGATGTTAATTCTTTGTTTTGTTTTTTTCAGCTCCAGTGAAAGAAGATCGAACGATTTACACTGCTTTTCTGGAAAAGGAACAGAAGGACAGAGGGAATGCAGCAAGTGCAAGAGCCAGTAACGGGCCAAGTACCATCAAGAAACCGGTGGTCCAGAAGAAGAAAAAGCCTGAACAGGATGGAAAAAAGAACGAAAAGCCGGTCTCTCTGGAAACTGCCATTTCTCAAGTAAGTGTCATTTCCGTCATGTATGTTTTCATGTATGTCAGGTCTAAGAGAACAACCAGTTCTTCATTTTATTTACAGCATGTTGTGCAATACCCCTGCATTCTATTTGTGTACTATCCTTTCTCGGCCTTTGGAAGTGTAATCCACTGAGAAGTGTTATATTGCTTCCTGCTTTACGTGGTTTTGATACAGGTACATATATAGCAGTACCTCACCCCTGTGCCAACAGTACAAAACCGTGGCAGATTCACAGCTGTGAAGAGTAACCCCGGGAACATTCTATTTTATAGCAGTTTTTTGCGTCAGCATGGTGTGTTGTACATCAATACACGCTGGAAAAATTGACGCATTGACTGAACAAAGGAAAAATTTTTCCCTATATCTTCAATGACGGTTGAGTTTTTGTCCAAGAGAATTTGTTGATAGCCCTTAGACCGAAGGACTAGAACCCAAATGGCCGCTGGATCGGAAAAGTAAAGTAGAAATAAAGTCAAGTTGAAAGCGAGTTTAAAACCTGCAGAATTGCACCGTAATTTTCCAGCTCTCCTTATTCGGAGGGGCTGCAAAATATTTAAATACAGTCAAATTTGTAATTGCAGGTACTTGTCATAACGAAATCTTCTCGCTCGTCCCTGGATAAATTCCTCTAATAATTACCAATATAACTGGAAAACTGTTCAACCTGGAAACAGAAAGAGAAATTCCTTCCCTTCAGAGGGTTTTGACCTGTCCAAGATGGAAAAGACTGCCCACTCAGCCCTGATTTGAAACTAAACTCCTTAGTTTGGTCCCACGGGCTCTAATGTTTACGTGCTGTACTGCAAATCGAAGGGGGTGTCCAGCTTGGGGGTATCTGTTACCTCACCCATGTGAGCCCTGAGGGGTCATATGGTCAGGATGATGTTGGTGTAAAGTCACACCACTGCTTATGAAAGTACTCAACTGGGGTGCCAGCATAGAAAGTTTCCTGGGTAGTCAGAGGTGTGAAATTAATTTGACCACTGCCTGCCGTCCTGATCATACAGCCAAAAGAGAAAAAAGTGCCTCGAATCTTTACATTCATGGGTGGGGTGGCCTTGGTTGATTGTGCTTATTATTACATTGATGGGTGGTGCTAAGGCTGGAAACACAGGACACTTTCTATCGTTTCTATTTTTAATTGGTCAAATAATGGTTATATGAAATGCAAGCATTTCTGGCAAAGGATAAGTGAGACTTAGCTACATATCATAGGCTAGGTTAGCACTTGGGGGGTGTGAAGTTTTGACCCCTACTTGCTTGCTGAACAGGGGACCCTTGATTCCACTGCATACGGGCTGGCCCTTTGGTATCCGCCTTCCCCCTAAATTCCCCTGTCCAAGACAGAAAATGTCTACAGTGGAATTTTTTCTGGCTCCCTCACGATTCCGTCTTAGACAGGTTCAACTGTGTTATCCAAATGTCCCTAAATCTGGCAGCCAGTGAGACAAAAGATTGATCTTCAGATCGCAGGCTTCTGCTTCTGAATCAAGCGTAAAATGAAAAAGTTACAAGGTGGTTACTTTGCCATTACGGATGTAATTTGAAAAATGCGCGTATTTGATCCTCATGTTAAACTTTATATACAGAAGCTGATATATATTGAAATTTCACGCAAAGCACATCTTAATAAACATCATTTTTGTACCCTGTTTTTCGAATGGCCCGAAAACCAGAAGGGAAGCAACACCGCATGGGATAAACACTTGCTGTCAGCTTGCTGTGATGTCATAGTTGTGTAGAGTGTAGCTGCTGATTGAATAGTCATTTCAATTGACCTGAATACCAAGGAAAACACTGTACTCATGGACTAAGACATAATGAAGGTTTCTTTGCCATCACAAATAATTGGGCTTAATTTTTAGTTTTATGCAAACTTAGTCCTGAAATGGACTTCAGCATAAGTGCATATTATATATTGACAGTGTTTTTGGCAAAATTAGAATGATGTTGACCTAAAGGTAGATTTATGCAAGTACATTATAAATAAGCTTAACTTACTCTTTACCCATAATGTTAAAGCAGAAGAACATTAATAATTACAACTCTTGTGATTTTAGTACACACATCAGATCGCCATGAACGCAGTAGGGTAGTTTTGAGGCACGTTTTCATGGTATGGAAGTGCACAGCAGACCTGCAAAGTCTCCAATAAAATTGGAGCCCTCCGATTTTTTTCTCCCTATGAAAAAACTGCAGGTAGATTTGTATAAAATCCTTTATTTTTCTTGAATTCTGTTTCCATTTTATGCAATTTATCGTTAATGACTTGAAAATACACAGGTTCATTTGAGCTTATTTGCAATATTTGGGCAACTTATCATAAAAACATGAAAATACACCTTTATGTTTGGGTTTATTTGAGTGTGTTTGCAATACACGGTATTGTTTCATCGAGATTTACAATGGACATGTGATCACATACAGGAGAGTAGCTGCTGTGGGATGCAACATATAGTTCAACAATGTCAAATTTTCCCCTTTGGATTATCTGCTGTGCCCACCGGAGCTTTTGTTTCGTATTTAGTTCTGAAATGCCGGATCTTAGCTTAATGTAGACCTTCAGAGCAGGATCTTAGGGATGACTTTTGTACAGTTAAAATTTTGTTTTATAAAAACAAGGAGATCTTAAGGGAATCTGGGTAGTAAGTGGTGGGATCTTAGGCAGAGACTACTGTACTAGATATAATATGCTGTCCGGTAGAATGCTTTTCTTGAGATATCTGTAATGTTGAGCTGTTTTTTTTTGTTGATGTGTTTAAACATGAGACTTATTAAAATTTTCCCAACCTTGTATATATGCTTGTGTAAAGAAATTTGAATTCATACAATCCTGTCCTTCAAAATGAGCTCACGGTCAAAAGATTTTGTGAACTTTTAGTACTTTTACAGTTTTCAGTCATTTTGTGAGGGTAACAAGTACCACTAGTAGGTCATACTTTTGTGTCTTTTCATTTTTCCACCACCCTACATAAGTACTCTCATGTCAGTGTGCTTCTCTTTGGCTCATATAATCTAAGAAACTAGTTATATTGCCGTGTATTTATGTGTCCATGTGCACTCATGTCAAATTTGAGCTCTGTTTGAATTCATGCCAGTTATTCAAAAAGTTCTGAATTTTTCCTCTGCTCCCACTAACAATACAAAACCTGTTTTATTTTTTCAGATTGACCATCATGAACTTGAGAACATCTTGAGTCAGTCTCAGATGCGATTTCCTGATAATCAGGATGTTTGGCTGAAAGACTTGGCCTCTTTTCTCAATTTGAAGTTAGAGAAAGTGAAAAATATTGACCCCACATTCAAAGGGATGCCTCAAGGTACATTTTTTTTCACATGTTTCATGGATATAGAGGTTTTTGAATTTGGGATATATATTGTCCTTGAAACTCTCTCCTCTAAAATTAAGACCATAAATCTAAAGTCTTATTCCATTGCATCCATGTCTTTGGTTGTTTTACCTCATGTAGTTGTCTAATGTGAGCTGCGACTTGTCTTGATCTCGTACTTCAGATGTATTGAGAAAATAGAATTGCTAAACGTGATTTCTATTGAAGACTTGACTTACACCTCTGGACTTATACTTTCAGGATATCCTTTGGAATTGTTGTCTCAAAGCTGTCAAAAGGTTCTCCATATGGCGGTGAAGAAATTCTCCAATCAGACTTTGGATCACCTTTTTTATCACACTATCCAGACTATGCTGGTTGAAGCTTCAAAAGGTAAGATTATACAGTATGCATGATACAGTTTTTACTTCCTTGAAACAGAGTAACACCTGAGCATTGTATCTATTTTACTTTTTAATGTTCTTTATTTCTCTCTCTTTTTTTGTGATATTTGCGTTTAAAAAACATAACAGTTTAAGCTTATCTGTAGATTAAGTTTCATCTGTTAGTTCATCATTTTAAAAATAAAAGGGATTGTTTCTTGTTAGGCTTGCAGTAAGTTGTTCTGTATTTTCTTAACCCTTTCACTGCTGAAATGTATGTATCCATCTACAGTAAAATTTGTACAGACAAGATAAAATTTCTTAAAGAGAGATTTTCACCAAAGATTTATTTAAAAAGTAAACAGTAGCACACGTTACTATATCTCCAAACATTTTCCTTATATGAAGTTGTATGAAAATGGCAGAGAACGTAAGCTGGAATAACACAAACCAGTGCATACGTCCACGCAGCAGTGAAGCGGTTAACTGTGTCTGTTAGTTGTTTAGTAATAAGAGTCAAAATTACTAACCAAATGGGTCCAATTTATGGGCACAAGGTAGAACAAAATTACAATAAAATATTTTCTTTGTCAGACCAGTCCATCCTTGGTTACAAGATCTTCCTGCAGCTGCTTGCTCACCACAAACCAGACATTGCCCTGGGGAAGATCCATCAGGTCTGTTGTGTCATTTTCTTAGTTTTTATTTTCACTAATAAATTATCAGGATTTATTGTTTTAACCCTCATCCTGCGGGAGCCGGGTTTATGTAGCCCGATAAGCCTATTTCGGCACCTCGCCTGCGTTCTGGTCCGAATCAGTGTAGCCCCTGGCTCAGCGCATGCTCAGCGCACGCTCAGCGCACGCGCATCCTCTTACGTGTCATTCGGGTCCCGAGTCGGATCCCCATTCACGCAGGTCAAGTGTGTGTGCGTCAGTCTGCTTGAGTTTGTGTGCGTTTGAGGCCTTTTTCTAGAACCGCCTGCGTTGGTTCGTAATCGAGGCATGCGTCTCATTCAAAACATGCCAAGTTGGTAGCTCTAGATGTTCGTCCAATGAAATTATAGAAAAAATTGACCCACTTAGACATGAGGAGCTCGAAAGGATAGCAACCAAACAAAAATATTTTTTTCCAAAAATCTTGATCCAGTAATAACAATGTTTTTCTCTTTGGGCCCTATATTAAAGGCCGCTCTTTGAATGCATATAAGCAATCACTAAAATAAATAACTTACTGTGACCTTGCCAACAAATTACTCATTTTGAGACAGCGACACCACCCTGCCCCCACATTTCAATGTAAGCTTGTAGATTTCATTCCCCAGCTGTCTAAACGTCTCCACGAACGCCATATGAGCCACGAAAATTACTAACTGTCAATTGAATCGTGTTTCTTAGGCATACGTTAGAGTGTGTTATTTAGGAAAATATGTCAACTTTTAAATGTTTTAGGTGTATGCTATATAAATCAATCCCCAATTGTTTTTTTTACCCAGTTTAGGCTTGCATCAAAGCAAACGTATCAGGACTTTAGTTTGCAGTGACCTTTATGAATGGGCTTTTAGATTCTGTTGGTTATCCAACTTTTAGACCCGTGTGCAAAGAGCGATTTCTTATTATCCTGTTTTATCCGCGTCCAGAGGAAAGTGTACAAGCTGTAATTAAAATCTTTAAGACACACTTCCTTAAAAGATTTGGGTTTAAATGTTTTTTTCTTTCTAAAAATTACCTGTCAGAACAGTTATCTAAATATCCTCTTTTGTGGCCATAGCTTACACCTCGTATTTAACAGCACTCTTAATCAATTAGTTTGGATTTTTTAAAATTGTAACTTCTTCCTTGTGTCTGTAGTATTTGGAGCTGCTGAAGACCCATCAGAATCGGCCTGCCAACTGCCTGTCTGTCCTGTGGGCTGTTGGGCAGTGTGGGGTGAAGAATTTCAAGTGCGGCCTGAAAGGTCAGTGTTTACGAAGATGGTTTAGTCTTCTTTTTGATTTCAGCTATTGGCTTTATTTTACAATGTAATTCCTACCTTAAGTTGGGTAGAGCCTGAAATATATCCTTTCTTTGGTTTCATTTCAAAAGCTTTTTAGTCACCTGATGCGATTTTCGTGAAATCAACATTGAGGCTTTGCCTTTCGTAAGTATCTTCCTAAACATTTTGTGTTGTTAGTGGAATACTTATCCTCAAAGAAATCGTAGTACAGTAGTCTCCGCCTAAGATCTCGGTGCTCGGGAGCAAGGAAAAGCGG